ATTTCTCTCATCAAAGTTTTTTATCTCTCTTTGTGCTTAACTTTTTCATATCAATCTTAAAAGGGAGATATATTTTTGAAGAAGATCTATACACTCACATTGCAAAAACCTGGGGGTGTCAATGAGTCTAGCCGAGCTGAGCTGACCCGAGCCGAGCCACGAGGCGAGACTCGAAGCTCAGGCAAAAATGGTTCGATCTTTTTTTGGCATGAACCAAGCCGAGCAAAAACTCATCCAAAAAATTGAGGCTTGACCCGAGATTTCAGCTCGAGCCTAAATGGGCCTAGCCGCTTGATTTTTTTTTTTATTTTCATGACAAATCTAAATTTTTTTTAAAGAATTTAAAATTTGTGCAATTTACTCATCATTTATATGGTTTTGGGACAAACTACAATCATCGTAGGTGGAATTAAAATTGTCACGAATAAAATATTTCGTGCACAATTTTTCTTAAAACAAAGAAATTTAAAAATTAATTATTTTTTTGAAACTAATCAACTTAAAAATTTACGATATCCTATCCTTGAATATGCTACAACTCTTCGGTTATTATACTGTCAACTTGTTCTTGAAGACGTAATTCTGCACATTCTTAGTCCTTCAAGCATATTAAAGCCTCCAATATATATTTTTTTAGTTTTGATCGTTTGTCACATAAAACTTGACCACCTAAACTAAATACAGCCTCCAATGCTACCGTAGACACTGGAGGTGTAGTAGATCACGAGTAATTTTTGATACAATTAGATATTGCCTTTCGTTACATCTGAATGCAATAATCATTTTATGCAAAATTCATAGGTGATCAATGTAATGAGTTGAGCAGCAATACACCTTTTTTTATTAACACGGTGCATAAATTAGAGGTAAATGATATAACACTATTAAAATTTTTTAGTCTTTCAATTGCAGTTTGTTTTCTTCTATTATATAATTTTATACTATCTGAACGAAAAGTATTTTTACAATAAGAAGTATACCTGTGGTGGAAATAATTCTGCACAAGATGAATAAAGTGTATTGACTCTATTATCGTAAGCGACATTTCTGCTGCAATCACGTATGCAGTCATCCCTTCACGAAATATTTCCTTCGAATATACAAGAGTGGAAAGAGTAGAACCAGAATCGTAAAACACTAGTTCAGTACTAATTTTGCTTTGCAACTTCTTAATANTGAATCAAATTTCTTGAATCATTTCTCTCATCAAAGTTTTTTATCTCTCTTTGTGCTTAACTTTGTCATATCAATCTTAAAAGGGAGATATATTTTTGAAGAAGATCTATACACTCACATTGCAAAAACCTGGGGGTGTCAATGAGTCTAGCCGAGCTGAGCTGACCCGAGCCGAGCCACGAGACGAGACTCGAAGCTCAGCAAAAATGGTTCGAGCTTTTTTTGGCACGAACCAAGCCGAGCAAAAGCTCATCCAAAAAATTGAGGCTTGACCCGAGATTTCAGCTCGAGCCTAAATGGGCCTAGCCACTTGATTTTTTTTTTTTTATTTTCATGACAAATCTAATTTTTTTTAAAGAATTTAAAATTTGTGCAATTTACTCATCATTTATATGGTTTTGGGACAAACTACAATCATAGTAGGTGGAATTAAAATTGTCACGAATAAAATATTTCGTGCACAATTTTTCTTAAAACAAAGAAATTTAAAAATTAATTATTTTTTTGAAACTAATCAACTTAAAAATTTACGATATCCTATCCTTGAATATGCTACAACTCTTCGGTTATTATACTGTCAACTTGTTCTTGAAGACGTAATTCTGCACATTCTTAGTCCTTCAAGCATATTAAAGCCTCCAATATATATTTTTTTAGTTTTGATCGTTTGTCACATAAAACTTGACCACCTAAACTAAATACAGCCTCCAATGCTACCGTAGACACTGGAGGTGTAGTAGATCACGAGTAATTTTTGATACAATTAGATATTGCCTTTCGTTACATCTGAATGCAATAATCATTTTATGCAAAATTCATAGGTGATCAATGTAATGAGTTGAGCAGCAATATACCTTTTTTTATTAACACGGTGCATAAATTAGAGGTAAACGATATAACACTATTAAAATTTTTTAGTCTTTCAATAGCAGTTTGTTTTCTTCTATTATATAATTTTATACTATCTGAACGAAAAGTATTTTTACAATAAGAAGTATACCTGTGTTGGAGATAATTCTGCACAAGATGAATAAAGTGTATTGACTCTATTATCGTAAGCGACATTTCTGCTGCAATCACGTATGCAGTCATCCCTTCACGAAATATTTCCAGCGAATATACAAGAGTGGAAAGAGTAGAACCAGAATCGCAAAACACTAGTTCAGTACTGATTTTGCTTTGCAACTTCTTAATATATGTTTATTTAAATGCATTGTGGTTGAACCAAGCTTCAAACTAAATTCTTTACTACAGTGATTGTAACATATTTTCCAAATATCAATTCAATTTTGAACCCCAACTTTTTACGTGTCATATGTTGCCAATAATCCACGAATTCTTTTTTCGACATTTTAATTTCAAGTACTTCTTCCTCTTCGATATCCTTCAAATCAATTGGAACATTTTGAGATACATCGTACCTAGATGGAGAACTGGAACTACCCTTAAACTGATCACTAGTAAAATCTGTTTATAACTATTATAGCAAATAATATGAATATTAGAGTAAAAGAAACTGAATGTTAGAGTAAATAAATCGAAGATTGAAATTGAAATTGAAACTGAAACTAAAACTGAAACTAGAACACTGTAAAATTTTATGAAACTCAACTAAATTGGAGATTAGAGTAAAGAAAATGGAGACTAAAATACTGAATATTGAGTAAAGAAATTGGAGATTGAATGAAGTAAATTGATATGAAGTTGTAAAAAAATTTGTGTATTTATAACCCAAAAAATGTATC